GATCCATAGGCATGGATGTGTTTGCTGATCTTGGCTTGCACAGGTTGCATGGGTAGATTCAAATGCAGCCAGCAGGCTAATGTCTGATAAAAAGAATAGAATACTTTTGTGTACATGTTAGGTTTATACACAGTGTAGTTATTTCATAACTTGTAAAACAGTTAAAATCAGATGTGTCCAAATAGTAAGTAGAAACATTTAACATATAACTCTTAACTCATTGTCAGTAGCAGTTTAGTTATGTATCCCTTCAACAAAACGTCCAACCTTTCACCATCATGTTAAAACTTCAACAACAACAAATGCCTGTAAAACTCTCAAATATTTATGTGTAAACCCATCAAATTTACCTTTTTACTTTGTTTATAGGTTTCTATATCTGACCGATCTTTCAACATCTCTAACTCACGGATACGTAATTTCAACTGTGTGTTCTCTCTTTCCAATGCCTCAACCTAGAAAGTTAAATAAATAAAGATATACAAAAATAAAACCAAAGCACATTTAAAAGATTATCTTTATATCAAATGTTGTTTATTCTCCCATATACATATAATTATAATCACAAACAAGAAATGTGTCCATAGGACACGGATGCCCCCACATGCCACTGTTCTGTCAATCTTATGACTCTAGGTCAAATATTTTTTGGAATACATGTGCCACAAGTTGAAAACTAAAAATCAACAAAGGGCCATAATTTTGTTAAATTTGGTCGCAGCAAAAATTCCTTCCTTTACTACCATCTACACATTAAGGTTATTAATCCCTCGAAGTTTAAGCAAAATCTGCCATCCAGTTTAAGAGGAGTTGCGTTCACAAAATTTCTACATAGTATATAATGAAAAAATCAACAAAGTGCCATAATTCTGTTAAATTTGGTTGCAGCAAAAATTCCTTCCTTTACTGCCATCTACACATTAAGGTTGTTCATCCCTGGAAGTTTAAGCAAAATCTGCCATCCGGTTTAAGAGGAGTTGCGTTCACAAGATTTCGGGACGGACGGACTGACGGACGGACAAGTGCAACGCTATATGCTCCCACATTGTGGGGGCATAAAAAAATATTCTTATTATATTGTATTATATTGAACTGTTCTGCACACATCAGGGATAGGACAGCACTGCATTGTTTTATTATCTATATTCCAATCCATTCTATTCTATAAAAGGCTTATGTTATTTTTTTCTCATCAAATCTATACAAAAAGCACAAAATGATCCAGGTACAAATTTATCATAGAGGGGATATCTGGTTTATAAGTTAACATTTTTGCTACTCAACCAACAAGCAATTTTACGTTTTTTACATGGCCTGTTAGGGTCAGGGTCAAGGTGCACAAGTACACTGATTAGTTGCAAGAAACTGACTGGGAAGTGCTTCAAATAAGTTCTGATTTAAAAAGTATAAGCTATGAATATGTTTTAACTAATATATCTTGAAGATATAAGTATAAAATTTGTACTTTTTTCTGCAGCACAACTTGCTGCTTCTTGACGTCCCCATCTTTGCCTTGAGTTTCCAGAAACTTCCTATAAGCTAGATCAAATGCTTGACCAATGGTCAGTGTAATCTCCTCTGCCTAAAAATAGATATTAATAGTTATTATTTAACATGTGTCACAAATGGTCATCTTGACCTAGTCACTTTTGTTAAAAATACAATTTACACATAACTATATTATCCATGCTAGTGGATTTCAATTACAAATCAACTGTTCTTCCAGTCAAATAAAAAAGCAACATAAGTAACAGATTTACCATCATCCTTAGCTATTTTAAGTATCGATTTATGAGCTCAGACCAGACAAAAGAAGTTAAGGCCAAATTTAAATGCTTTCCCTTTTTTTATTCTTTGGGAAGCACAATCAAATCAACATGCATACAATTACAGGAAAGAACCAGCCTAGTGGGATTTTCTGGTGTTTTTTTTTAATCCTCAGCAAACACAATGTAGTCACTACTAGTACTCAAGTTACCCTGTCTCCCATGTTAACATTTAACAGCTGATCAATATTGTAACGGATCTATATTCAACTAAAAGTCTCCAATTTCCTGGTTCGTGCATAACAAGACAATCAGCTTGTTAAACATTTGAAATTGATATGTTCAAGCTAAGGCCTTACAAGGTCACATATTGTCTGTGCAGACTGAACTAACTTGCTCTATCCCTGCTATAATAGCAATGACAAAAATTGCACTTTTTTTCTAGATTTTGATTAGTTCAATCAAACTGAGAAAGAAACCCATTCTTAAAGGTGAAATTTTCAATTTTACTTAATGAACTGTAGTTTATGTTTAAATTTATCACACTTTAACCTAAGGCTAGCAATGAGAGTGACCTGTTTATACAAAACAGTAAATTGTCATGGCATCCTGCATGTCGCAGTAGGCTGTTCAAATGTAGTCATCTGATACTGTAACCTCTCAAAATGAGAATGGACAGTTCCAAATTGAATTCATGTCAAGTCTATTATACAAATAAAGTGGTGTCTGGGTTAACACTATCTCAGCCATGCTTTCACCCATGAGAAACATAGCAAAATTCACGAAAAAAACAACATAGAAATGTATTAAGATTATCTGAAGCTCATTTAACACAGTATTTCACGAAAAAAAGGTTATGATGTTAAAGAAATGCTACAATTTGGTGAAATGCAGGCCAACATCTGTGCCATCTGATCATGGTCTGCACTGTTTGCTATTCAGTCAAAACATATATTGTATTTTGGATTTTTCCATAAAAACGATGAATGTTTTTATTAATATTGAAAGATGGACAAGTCCATTTAAGACAATAAACATGGTGAGGTCTAATGGAACAGGTCTATAATTACTGCAGCTAGTACACAAGGATTGAAAGTAAGGGGTATTAGAATACCGGTACTTACATTTTTATCACTTGCAAACACATAACAGAAATGTTTATTTGAGTCGGAGGCCTTGGCAATGAAGGAGAACATACGTTTATCCGACTTGTCGTCTGCACAATATGATATTCTGTGTAATGGATACTGATGTTTTACAATCTGAAATAGCCAAATAAATATGAGCCGTGTCACGACAAAACCAACATAATGTGTTTGCGACCAGCATGGATCCAGACCAGCGCAGTCTGATCAGGATCCATGCTGTTCGCTTACAGACCCTATAACAAGTAAAGAAACTGATAGCGAACAGCATGGATCCTGATCAGACTGCGCAGATGCGCAGGCTGGTCTGGATCCATGCTGGTCGCAAACCCATTATGTTGGTTTTGTCGTGACACGGCTCAATTATAATACTTAAAATATGAAAATCAGAAAAGCCTAGGAAGGGGAATACAATCTAAAACAGTAAAGAAAGTAAAATAGTAATCATATTAAAATACACAGCCTGTAAAATAATTAGATATACAATTTTAAAAAGCTAACACTCAGTTTGCATGAATGCCATGACACCAGGGTCATGCCTTCAAGAGAGGTTATAAGCCAGGTGACCTTGACCGTTGACCTCTATGTGGGTCTGGCAGGTAGAGCATATCAAAGTGCATGCACCTGTGAAGATTGAAGGCAGATGGATTTCCGTACTGGGGTTAATGTTAAGTTTTGTGACAAACAGACAAATCTCAATCTACAGTATCAATACAGAGGCATAAAAATAAATAAATGAAAAACTTTTATCCATAATGAATTTATCAATAATGGCAAGAGTAATAGTTAATAAAACACTAGTGCTAAAATGTACAATTCAACATTATCACCAGTAAACTTTTAAGACTTAATACACACATTGTCTGGTAGGGCATGCCTACCAGAGTAAATAATTAAAACTTGCCTGTATGTGTGGCTAATTTGGTAATGTTTGGATAATGGATTGGGGTGCAATAAAAGCTTGCACTTAATGGATTATGCACTTCAATTATCAGACTAATGTAATTGTATTCTGTAATTATGTACCCAGTCAATACATAAAATCGTCTTGTATACATAAGGTAAAATTTTATTCAGCAGTGGCTGCTAAATTTCTGAGGGGTTTATAGGTGGGGTTTTTCCCATCATTTATCTCATTTTCTTCTAAACTTTTGAGGTTATTTTGTCCTTTAAAGCAGCACACCTCCAGATTCATGATTATTTTCATGAAAATTTTGAAAATGTATTTGAATGTGTAATATTGTGAAGTAACCAAAAGGACGCAGTTTACACATTATCAATGGTACTTACAAATCATGTAAATTACCCAAATTTGGTCAAAATATGCATAAATAGCCTTTACTGTGTTAGTAAAGCAGTAGAAATATAGTTGTAAATACTGAAAAATCAGTCATTAAACGCACATAATATGTAAAATATCACTTGAATCTTGAAACTTTTTACTTTTCCTTACATTTTAGTACATTTTTCTCAAGTTTGATTTTATTGAACTATTTTGACTCATCTGGTGGCATGTAGCTTTAAATTTGAATTAAAATTGGAGTGTACATGTATTAACTTTATGAAGATTACTTAGTAAACTTAGAAAACAAAGTATTAAATTTTTTTAGACTTTTAGCTAAGATACCACTTTTCAAGTTTGCCTGATTACAAAGGGGACTTTCAAGAAAAATAAATTGTGCTTGAAATAAAATTCTATTTTCCCCAAAACTACACCATAAATTATTACATCCCTTTCAAGAACAGTACAAATGATTTATAATTCAGTGATAATGTTACAAATCAATGATCTTCAAACTGTTTATCAGATAAACAAAAACAAAAGGTCTATGACCTAAAAGTAAATAGTTTTCTTTCTTAAACTTTCTTAAGTAGTTGATAAATGGTAATATAAATAGTGTCAAGACTTAGTTTCAAAGTCAGGCTACTGATTTTCTTTGATCCTTTAGATTTTCTTTGATCCTTTATAAGAGTTTATGCTGTAACTGTTTTAACAGTCAATTTTACAGCTATGTCTTATTTATTAGTTCAAAATATACTGTTTCTAATGTTGATTTACTACTCGAGAAGGCGGTTTCTCTATGCAAACATTAATTTTGATCTCAAAAAAAAGTTATAGTGAAAATTCACATTTCTGATCATAAAATGGAACCATAAAGACAATTTCTGCTCATAAAAGTAGGAAGAATAACCATTATTGTGATTGAAAAAAAATGTCTTAGGTACTGCTTTGATTAAAAGTAAGAACTGTCCTAATTATTTTAATAATTATCAAAAAGCTTTGAGTGGACAACAGTCTGTACAGATATGCCAGTTGATGCCAGTTGTCATAACTCTACAATGGCAGAATTATTTGAGCCGCGTCATGACAAAACCAACATAGTGCGTTTGCGACCAGCATTGGATCCAGACCAGCCTGCGCATCCACGCAGTCTGATCAGGATCCATGCTATTCGCTTACCAACTCTATTACAAGTAGAGAAACTGATAGCAAATAGCATGGATCCTGATCAGACTGCGCAGATTCGCAGCCTGGTCTTGATCCATGCTGGTTGCAAACCCATTATGTTGGTTTTGTCATGACGTGGCTCATTTATCAAAGTATTCCAACAAAAATATAATCTCCTTGTGGCTTGTTTCTAGGACAATTTTCTTTTAATTCATCTAATGAAAATTTTAATTCATTATGTTAAAATGACATTGTTAATTGTTATCATCATTTATACAGGATGTAATTAAGGCCCTACTCTTCATCAAATGTCAAGTGTATCATAGCATATATCTTGTCTAGTAAACATTTACTATACTAGAGGAAATTTTAACAAGATCGCCGTAATCATAATCACTTCACAGCTATGTCTGCTGCAAATTACAAGAATGAAAGCAAGGGCTGTAACTCTTGAAACAGTAAAACAGAGTACTTTAGGAGGTGAGTGTTAAAGAAGTTTTAAATGGGACAAAATACATGTTTGTCATAAAAAAATTTCTGCAATCTGTTATACTTACTTTAGTCTTTGGTTCTTGTATGGTCACACCATCCACTGATATTGATAATTCTACTTTTGGTGTCTTCTGACCTTCAGTCTTTCGTATAGTCTTGTTAAACTGTAAAATATTGATAAATTATACTATAGATAATTAAAAACATATTGTTTTATGAACCTGTTAAATATTAAGTAGAGGATACTGAATGAATGTATAAGTTCAATACTAAATTTATTGAAGGAGTTGAAAAAAAAAATATAATGCAAACCTAAGACTGGCGAGCATAATATTATTCAATGAATTCAGTATAATGAACCAGTACTAGAATATAATATTCTGTTTATCATATACCTTAAAAAGAAACCTATTTTTTCAGTTAAAATATTTATTTATTCATTAAAGTGCCTATCGTGTAATGATAAAATTTTATGCTACGTTTTACGATGCAAATGATGTCACATCAATAAATATGCATGACAATTTTTCTGGAGACGTAAAATCTGCACGGGTATGTGAAAAATTATCAAAATTAATTATTGATAATATCATAGAAGAGGTATATGGATAGTTTCATATTAAATTTGTCAGGTATCAAAAATATAAATTTCTTTCATATGTTTTATATTTCTTTCATAATTATGTTTTCAAGGTGTAAAATAATAAATTATCATAATTTCTGATGTCAAACATGAGTTATATAACTCAAAATAAAATTTTTAATGTCCTAAATATTTTACATATCAATTTTTTCACCATATCATCAAAGTGTTCATGTAATGATTGTACATATACAACACAACATAGGCATGCACTATCAAACATTACAGTTAATTATCAATGCACTAAATTTTCTCTTGGCGAAAAACAGTCCAGATAAACAATGTGTCTATGTACATGTACCTCATTTACATTGCAATATCCTTGCAATATCCGTTTTTTTTTATTGGTTTAAAAAATGGGCATAAAACACTTTAAAACATTGCTTCTTTTTTAACACTTATTGTGAAAAAGATGAACATCCTACTTGACTTCATGGAATACGAAAATTTCACAGAAAGCCCTTGACAATTTTTATTATTTCACACTACATGATCCAGGAGGCATGCTTTACAACAGTATACAATTCTTGTATTTTATCATGACGGAAATTTGTCATTTATTTATGATACCATTGTAAGAGGCAAATGACGGGAAAGAAGAAAGTGATGTTATTTCTAATTAGCCACTTCAATCTTGCATCATATTATTAAAGCATGACTAAAAAATCTTATACCAGTGTTTAAAACCTTGTACATGTATCATACTAATTAACACTTAATAGCCTGAACAGAAAATGAGTAGCCTATGGTACCAGTATAGAGCCAGGCCGGCCTGAACTACTGTACAGTCCTAGCAAGGTCTATACTACAGTCAACTATCGTTATCTCGACATCGCTTTTCTCGATATTTCGTTACCTCGATGAAATTTTGAAAGTCTCGATTTTCTTCCTTCTTTACCTATATTGGAAATATTTGTTTATATCGATATTTTTATTTCGATATTTTCAGTATCTCGATGTACAATTTCAGCCCCAATAGTTATTTTCACACTATTATCCTTTGTTTATCTCGACTAATAGTTTTCTTTCGTCTGTTCCCTTCAGACGTGTGAAAAACACAAACTAGATGATTATTGCTCAATAGCGCGTGTCATAATGATGATTATGTTTGTAACATGTTTAGCTGTTTTTTAAAAATTAATCTATTTAGCGTGTTGATTGACTTATGTCCAAAATGAGTGAATTTTACATTCTTTATAAATATTCGAACATTGTATCAATTCATTGTGACTTTAAATGTAAATGAAATAGTGAAAGTAAAGAAACGCTATCGTTGCAATATTGCTTCACAACATCACCACCAAATCAATCAGCGGTCGAACAACATCGAGAAAGACCCAATAAATAACCCGGGAGGATATCCGGATCAACCACCCTGAAAACAATGTTTTCACTATGTTGGTGTATTACTGAGTAAATCTCACTATGTGTTTTTATCACAGAAACCCGTATTTCCGCTGGTAAACATCCGCTACTGTTACTTTGTTAAATAGGCCTATGACTAACCCTATGAAAACAAGATATGGGGATATCATAGTTTATTTGACATAAGGTATGCAAGCATGTCTTTTGAAAAAATCAGTTTCTGCCTGATTCAAAACCTAATATGTTTATCTCGACATTTCGTTATCTCGATATTTTTTGGACGGTCCCGATGACTTCGAGATAACGAGAGTCGACTGTATAAGTCGCTCAATTTTTGTATTTTGAAACCAAGATCCACTTTGATTCAGGATTGTTCTAAGCAGGGCAAATCCATATGATAAAGGGTTAAGAAAATCTGAAATGTGTCTGCCTAAAGATAAGTGAATAAATTTTCAATGAATCAAACTGTGGAAAATTATATTACAAGTTCTAAGAGTTCAACAAAACATGAAAATATTAAATGCATAATTCATAAGACAAGATGTAAAAAAATTGGTCTGAAGTTACCATAACTATCATTATAAATGTTACTAACACAATAAGCAATATTTTTTGTTTATTTTGACACATCTGAAGACAATTCATATTGACCATATTTATAAGTTAGGCTAGCTGAAATTACTTTAGTTATTCAAAATTTCAACTATTTTTTCAAAATTTTCATAGATCATGTCAGTGGAGGCATGCCCCTTTAACATTCTCAGCTGTATAATTTTTGTTGGTAAAATATTTGTTTTAATATCATAAATCAAGAGGATATTGCCATTCTATCAACCAGTCTGTTTTAAATGTCATACAAAATACCATTTGAGTAAGACATTTAGTATAATTATGTATAATGGACTTGTCCAGCTGTCAGATTGGAACAATCCATTAGAATTTTAAGGGATATCAGACTCGTATACATTTGTATAAAAATTTACTGCATGAAGGTAGTGACTTGTTTTGCTCTATTAACATAATAATTATACTATTATCTTCAATTTTTAATGTTTTATTAATCAGGCTTTAAATAGTATTCCAGAACTTATGATAAATTGCAAGCTGAAACAGTCACATGAATTTTTTTTAAACCAGTACTAACCTGTTTTATCACGAAGAATTGGGATCTTTCTACTTAAATCAATTGATACAGCGATGAAGAATGGACAGGATAAGTAATATTAAGCCATCAACATAATTGCCATAGAAAAAAAAAAACATGTGCACTTCTTGGAGCTCAAACTCACTAAACCCAAGGTCCAGTAGCCTAACACTGCCTCCTGAGCTAATTGGGAAAACTTTTACCATTAACTGGTGTTGGCACAGGATTAATATTATTGTCATTATTGAATTATAAAATATTACCTTTCGTTTACGTATAGCATCTTTCACAACATCTGTACCTTTTGGTGACTCAACCTCACATTCTCCATAAAACTGTAAACATAAAAAGAAAGTCTATAAAAATATTAAAACTTAAAACTGTAAACACAAAAAATGCAAAACTGTAAACATATATATCAAACTGTAAACAAAAAATAGTAGGGTTTGAAATAAAAACAAAACATGTTTTGTTTACAATATATATAGGAGACCACAACAGGATTTGGAGATATATTTAATTTTATACACACAGACCTTTTATCATACAAAAGCTGTCAGTAAATCAGTATCAGTAAAACAAGAGCCTGGATAATGTAAATTTTTTAAAGTTCAAATAGGGCTCAATTTCGGACAGAGTTATGGGCCTTATGGGATAGATATCTCCTATTTTGCTCTCAAATAAGTGTGTGAAGTTTTAACCAATTCCCTTCGGATTTAACTCAATACAGGATTGGAGCAGTGCCTCTAGACGCTTGCAGAAATCATGATCACAAAATAGACAAATATCGTTTTTTCCGCCGAATTTTACATTTTTCCTTGATTATCATACTTGATTCGGTGTGAAAAGATGAATTAGACCTGTTAAAGTTCATTCCGTTGGGTAAAAAGACAAGATTTTAGCATTTTTTCATTCAAGCGCCTTGTCCGATATATACAGGAATACGGTATTTAGTGTGGTGCTCCAATCCTTTTTTTAGTCACAGCCCTCACCTTCAGTAGTTTTGGAGATATTAACTTTCATGCAAAAACTAAACAAGATGTGACGTCAATGCCAACATCAATGCCTGAGCCCTACTCTCCGAATAGACAGGCTAAAAATGCAGACTACTTAATTAGTGCTGTACAGGCATGATGTAGGCAGCAGTTGGTTCAAGACTCAGACGAAGCCCGAATATTTTTGTTTCAACATAAAATAAAAGTACAATGTATCCCTACATTACATTGAATTAATTGCTATTTTAAGACCAAAACTGGCACACTTTCAAGACTGTCTCTTACAACATTTATCAAAGACATGAATTCAACAAGTAAACAAATAAACAATCTTAAAACCATTTTATCATCTTGCTATACATTCTACTTTAAAACATAGACTAATGTAATGTAGCCTTAAGGGGTTTCTCCAGATCAGACAAAATTATCTCCCCTTCATCTACCATAGTACTGTCTGAGTAATCAACCAAGTAATCAACTATCTAAACAAGATCTACATTCAAAAGTGTCCATTACCTAACCCCTTTAGGTCAAAATATCTCTAAATTTATCACTAAAATAACAACTTAGTTTTTGTGTCATATTATTGCAAAACAATAAAGTATTTATTTTTCCACTGGCAACATCCTTTATTTACTTAACCTTTACCAATTTCTAGCTTTGTTTAAAGGACAATGCCCTGTTTTGAATTTGGAAGTCAATTACTAATTAAACGGACGGGACTTCAATATCAAAGTATTTTACCATTACCATCCTGGAACCCAAAGTGATTGGCCTTTGCCACGACAGGGCCAGGCCAGCCTACACTTTCATGCAGTCTGGCAAAGCTCTCTGATGTTGGCTACGTAACTTTTATGTTCATCTTGGTATCCCCAGAATTGAGACAATTTTAAATATCAAAGCTGGACAATCATGTCCATTTAAGAAATTTCATCAAAGTTACTAAGGGTTACATTAACCAATCAGAAGTAAAGAATGTATTGATCTGCAGCCCTGGCATAAAGCTTAACTTCTGGTGGTAAAAATTGTGTAAATGAAACATCAGGTTCTGACATAGATGCTCTTCTAGGGAGTTGAAAATGATTCATTGAAACAGATGTACGTGTATTGTTAAAATAAAACTTATGACTTGTATCACTGACTATCCCCTTTGTCAATTTCATAATTTCTCTATGATCTTACATAATAACAGATTAGCTGAATTTAAACAATGTGTACTTTATATGTACCCTTGTTCATAATCACATTTTTGTTAATTTTATCAATACAGGATTGTAAAAGATTTCTCAAGATAACTAACGCCTGTATTACTCACATCTGAACCATGTAACAAAGTCCGCAATTAAATGACCACAGTAATAAAAGTACATTAAAGTACAAACCATTTTGGAATGTACCGTATAATTGAAGAAAAAAAGAACTCTTAACAAAAAAGTAAAATATAAACAATCATGTTATTCTTAATCATAAGTACATGTACATATATAAGGAATATTATGTACAGTCAATTTATGAATATACAATTCTTAAAAATTAAATTAAAACATCTCATCATACTTTGGACTTATTAGCTTGTGTGTGTATTTGAGTTTATTTATACTAGCCACAGTGGTTGCCCATATGAACGAGTCCTCCAGAAGAGTATTACTCTTTTTAGATTTTGGAAGATAGTGCAAGATACAGAAAGATACCCAAATTCCAGAAGCTTCTCCTGGTTCTTTAGCATGCCAGTTGTTCAAGCACTCATACACAGAACCTCGATTAAAAGTCTCATCCGAAAGACTGATTAGTAATTTTAGTTGGCCAGGCTGGGAGTCGAACCCACAATGTCAAGATTACATTAGTCTTTCATCTTGCTCTCTTACAAACAGCAGATGGCAGTGTATTATATATCCCAGACAACATAGGGCAAACAAACATAAGAATATTGTGACTGGGGTATTGAATTTTACATGGCAATCTGCACAATGTGACATACTGCAGAACACTATCATACTGATATGTAATACTCTTATTTCCTAATCTACATCTATTATTTGTAGCTATTTCTGGCACTTTTTGCAACTTTGAGTTCGTTGTCTTAATTAAAAAAATTTCATAGCAACAATACATTATGCTTCTTACCGGACAAAGCATACACATACCTATTTCACCCTAACCCTACTTAATTTGCAAAATGAACTAATGTTCTGATTTGATTTCTAGAACAGTCCATTAGTTGTTATATGGGATTTCATTTTAGTATCAAATACTTAAACAAGTCTGGCTAGGCTGCATGGATGAACAGTGTGGCTGTAAAGTTCTCTCCGGTCATCATGCTGTTTCAAGAAAGATTTACACTAGGCTGATTCTATATACTTATAGTACAAGTAATTTATAGGGTTGTCCCTGGCCGAATGGTTTAAAGGTTGTTGATATGACGTCAAAAAACTTAAAGGTTGTTGACTTCAAACCACTTGCTGTGGGTTCAAATCCTCCTAGGGACTATTAGATTCTTTCATATGAGAAAGCTATTCAACTAGTTTATGGAACTCAAATAATACACAGAGTGGCACTTGAGGTCTTCCTCCACTAGTGAATTTGGGAAGTCGCCATTATAATGTCCTTTACACTGACTATCAGTGTTAAAACCCAAAAGAAAACAAACAAAAAAACAAGTTTGTTTTCATCACAGTAAAGCACATAGCATTAAAATATCATATTAAATCCTATACTAGATAATTTTACATTGTATATACTTATATACGTTTTAAGGTCACATGTTACTGGTTCAATAGTCACACTTCACGTAACAACAAGCCGTTTCATATACAAGACAACTTTGATAACCCGGAAGATACCAAAAGATTGTCCTGATATAAAATATTTTATTTTACGATGGCAATTAAGGCAATTTTGTATGGATAGTGAAGAAATAAATAAAAGTGTTTGTTTGTTTGTTTTATACTTTACAAAGACATGAAAAAGTCACATTTATGACAAAAGAAGTTACTTTAAAGCAGAAGCCCCTCTTGATCATTTTCTTATTTTCATTAAAAATTTTGGTTCATCTTGAACCATGTAGTTTTAATTGAAAAATTATATTTCTTTTATTGCGTAAAGTATACTGCAAAAACTGTGACACTTGTTTTATTGTGTAAATGTATTGACATCACTGTGATGCTTGTTTCTGTTGTGTAATTTAGAATATTGACATTTCGATGTGAGGCGCTTGTCTTATTGGGTAGAGTATATTGCCATAACTGTGACATTAATTTTGTTGTGATTAAAAGTATACTGATGAAGCTGTGACACTTTGTGTTGTTTTGTTGTGTAAAGTATATTGCCATAACTGTGACACTGTGACATTTTATTGTGTAGAATAATTAGACATTTAACTGTGACATTACCTTATTTAGTTAATATGAACTTTATATAGGCATTACATAATTTGCCTAAAGTACAATCATGACCATGGAGTAACTTACCTTTAAAGTGAGTTAGCTTAGAAGAAATACAACCTTAATTTTTTACCTTAAAAATTGACAATGTTTAATCTTGTAAAGTCTTAAAAGGTGACATCTTGAAATGTCTTTAAAGGTGACAATTTTAGTCAAGTATAATTACAATCACAAAATTTTAAAACATGACATTACCTTCACTGTGTAAAGTATATGACCTCTTGTTATGGAATCTGGTGGATGGATCCACTGTTTATTTGCTGAAACCAGAAAAATACAGCTACATAAAAACATGATACTAGCATAAAGTAATTATATTAATGGTATGCCATTAGTAATCAAGCAATTAAGGCTTACAGACATTAGTGGGTTCAAATACCAGTCTTCAAAAATATTTGCTGAAAGGCATACAAACTAATGTCTAAAATCATTCATTATTGATTTAACTACTTATATAATTAGATAGAATAACTATAGGATAAATACAATGTATATGCCCTCATTCTGAATACAGGACTAATGGTATGACATAATGCTTATTAGTATGTTTGATAAAAAATATATACATAAATGTATCTATCTAAGCTTTATTATGAATCAAGTTCTTGCAATGTTTGATTTTGGTACCCAAAATTTAAACCAGTATTTGCATCACATGAGGGAACGTGTTGGCGACCAAAGTTATGGGTTATTAAACCCATGATCCTTGGTCAAGAAACAGACATCATAAATATAAGGCCTCATCAGCTCCCCTTTTTAAATTTCTACAAAGAGCTTACTGGCAATCTTGTACATTATACAAAATTTATTTCAGTTCAATTGTGTAGGAAGCTCAATTTTAAGCTCAAAGCCTGTATATATAAACACACCTATAACTAATCAGTACTAAGCAAGGAGTTTATTTCAATTGTCCAGCTGAAGAAAACAACACCTTGCCCTAACTTCCTTCAAATCAATGTAGTCAGCAATCTTTAAGTCTCCTGGTCTGCAGCATTCATAATGGCACCTGGCCATGTTATGCTGCCATGTACATTAAACATTTTTGAAAGGTCATAGACTATACAATGTAGTTACACTTGAAGGAACAATCATTTTCATGATACTATGTATAATCCTTGAAATCTTATATTTTCTTTTACCTCCATATTATGTTCTAAAAAAGATGTTAAATTATTCATCTTCCAAAAAAAATCCGAACTTTTTCATAAAGACTAGTCTTAAAATGCTTGTGAAGTAAAATCACAGTGCATGTTCTTCTCATGCATTTTTGAAGTGCTCTATTAATGTAACACCTCACCAATTTATAACTATAATAGTATACTATAATCTATAATAATCATACAAGTAGGTAATTAAAGTAAGGTCTTAAGCACTGAAAAACTGCAGTTTCAAAGTTTGTATTATTCATTTAAATTTGACTAGTAATTCCATTAATTTTACACCCTATAACATAGATGTAAATTGTTAATCAATTATGACTGAAAATACATATACAATGGACTTTAATAAGTATTGAAGATATTATGAAGCAAATGATATACTGTAACCAATTTACATGGTTAACAGTGCAAAGCCTCAGGTCAGATGGCATTGGACTCTGCGACTGACCAGTGGTCTTAAATACTCATACGGTGCCAGCATGTCATTGTTATCAAAATTCACACCAGCAATTGCCTAAAACTTGTATGTACAATTCAATACCCTTCTCATCATCTTTAATCATACAATGCTTGAAAAGGAAAATGATTTTTTTCCGGACTAATGTCGTATTTTTACACACTGTAGTAAAAATTCATTAAATCCTGTTTCCTTTAATTCTTTTCTATTGAAAATTGTATATAATTAACAATGAAACCTTATGACTTAAATATAGGAGTAGAATAAACAGTACACTTTTTTATTTGAAATTTAAACTAATAAATACTAGATGTCTAGTAAAATTTGCATGAAAACACGTATATAAATTGAGTTACCTGACCGCATCTCGACAGTATGGTTTTTGTTGATTTCTTCTATTCTGGACAGACTCAGCGACCGGTTTATTCCAACATTTATGAACTTCCTTCGGCCAAACTCCTCGTTTGGGATGAGCACAGTGTTCTGTCTGCTAACAAAATAATCCTTGAACATTTTTGCACGATCCATTGTTTTATATTATGCTCGTAATCAAATGTTTATCACAAGTTTATCACAACGACGTGTATCACAATTAAAGCTTTATCACAGAATAGATAGCCGACTTGTTTGTTGTTTATTTATATCATTTTAACCAGGACTTGTATCATTCAAATAATATTTTGTACAGTTTATCATTTCAAAATATCAAAATATTTTTACGATGCACTCAATACATCGTACTTCCTTTATACTTAAGTTCCACTTTTACATTTGAATCCGGCAAATGAGTTGTCATTATTTTCACAAGGACATTACTTTTTCTCTTGACTATGTAAACAGTTCAGAAAGAGGCAGTTTTCTCGAATGATTGTTTAAACATTACAAGCTCCTATGATAATAGTATTATAGTAGTAGCATTATTATATTTGTTAAGTATTTTCCTTTTACAAAATTCGCTTTAATGATATAATCATTGTATGTGTCCAATTATCCCTATATACATAGAACAGTTTTGCGTTAAACCATCAAAATATCAAGTACGTAAAGAGCCACGGTCTATGACCGTACCAACCTTAATTATGCCCTATAACTTGGAATGATGTAGAAAAGAACATAACCCTAACCTTTTCTGCAATGGACTTGTCCCCTTTTGAATTCAGAACTGTCCATTGCTAATTAAAGGGGTTTGAAATTATAAAAATACAAAAATACAAAAAAGTTTAAGCAACCTAACTATTACACCCTCACAAGGGTAGGGCCATAATTTGGCACCATCTGATTGAATTTGATGGTCATTAGTGACTGCAGTATTCCATGAGTATTAAAGCACTTAAGTTGATGATAATTTGAGAGATCTATTATTACATTTGTTATTTTAAGCAACATTATTAAGTACTACTTGTAATAAACACCATAAACACCCATTTTGATATATATATAGGTTTATAAATGACCATATTGCATTAAAACTATTATATTACACAAATTATAAATTGTCACCTATATCTGCACTTGAATTCAATTTATGCATTTATGTAACATTTTATTTTTTTTAAATGTATACAAAATTAAAGACATATCCAAATAAGTCCCTATCGTATATTTATCTACCAATTAAGAGAACTGTAAAGAAGGTATACAATAGTATATTACTTTAAATTAAATGAGGTAGACATGCTTCAAAGGTGTGATTATAATAAGGGAGCCCTCAAGGTATGCGACCACTGACAACTGGAGTGAAAACATTCATAGTTCATTAACATTTTTCATATTAAAAGTTTCAGACTATACCTATCACAAGTTTATATCCTTTTAAAAAACGATGCACTTTGTTTTGCTGGAATATATTACAATCTCACTATGTTAAAATTTTTGTCAAAAAAATTGAGTTTTTGTTTTTTACTATAATTGCGCACCAACAGGTGGCACCAAAACAGAAAAGATGATTTTGGCAAACCTTGGGTGTTACAAACTTAAAGCAACAACCACCTCTGACCTGCTGGAGCTAAGAGATTTTATTCAAACCCATTTAGTCGCCTCTAACGATGACGCAGGGATAAACAGTGGCAGAAACTCTGGTGCCTCAACTCTTCAAGGCAACCCCTCAGCCACAAGGGGGTCATAAATTGTGTACATGTACACACTTTTTGAACCAAATGTTCTTTTACTTTTTTCAAAGTTTAGAATTTGGAACAAAAATGCCAAAAGATTCAACCATCAAATATTCCTACTTAGACAACATCATAACCAATTTAAAATATCACGCCTATCCTCTTCAGATATGTATATATTTTAAACATATTTATACAATTGACAAAACCAAATATTGTAACCCAAGACCATATTATGGATCTACTCCAAAATGAGGCCAGATATTATTTTCATATGTCATTTAGCCCTTATTCTGCTAATATTTAAGATATTTGTCACTTCCATTTTATTAAGGTTTAGATTTAATCATAATATCATAACACAGGCAATGTACTGATAATGCAGACTTGTCAGATTTCTGAAACTTGCTTGACCTCTTAATGTAAGGGTAATAAGGACTTGCCGATTCATTCTGAATAATGAAGACTGGCCTGATCAATAATATAACCAAATGCTTACTTGCTTGATCAATTATAGAGGTTGTGCTTTCTGACCTGATCTATTAAAGAGATTGTGCTTACTGAACTGATCAACTATAGAGGTAATGCTGACTGACCAATTATAGAGGTTGTGCTTACTGGCCTGATCAATTATAGAGGTTGTGCTTACTCAGGCCTGATCAATTATAGAGGAAATGCTTACTGGCCTGATCAATTATAGGGGAAATGCTTACTGGCCTGATCAATTATAGAGGTTGTGCTTACTGGCCTGATCAATTATAGAGGTAACATGCTTACTGGCCTGATCAATTATAGAGGTAACATGCTTACTGGCCTGATTAATTATAGAGGTTAATGCTTATAATACTGGCCTGATCAATTATATAGGTTGTGCTTATTGGCCTGATTAATATAAAATAGGTTTGTGCTTATTGGCCTGATCTAATCAATTACAGGTAATGCTTGATGGTCAGATCCATTATGAGGATACTGAAGACTGGACTGAACCATTATAGGGCTATATGAACTGACCCGCCATAGGCTGCAATACTTATAATAGGGACCTAATAATCAACTGGATCATTTGTTCATTTTGTCTTTTACCTATCCTTAGAAATGTGTCTCTGCATGAAAGCACATTTTAAGGATTACAGACTATCAAGAATAAATTATTCATCACAGTACCTAATGAACATGTTAATCTTTTAAAACTCCTTCAAAATGTTAGAATAGATGCATTAACTTTCCTTTATTGGAAACAAAATGCAATAAATAATAGCCATGATGATATCTTTCTATAATCCTGTTTTTATTTAAAGTTCTAAATGTGTTTATCCCATCCCCATGGATCAACATAACTGATTAAATGAACATCTTATCATTGCCTGATAGAGGGAACAAAGTTGTCACGATTATGTCTTGATAGATAAAAAGATCTATATCAACTTACGTGAAATAAAAAAAACATAAAAAAAACACAAGGCACTATCTTGTACTATAAATGGAAAATACAGCCACTATTTTCATGATTTTAAATAACCAAACATAATAAACATTGTAAATTTAAAAGAACTTTAAATAGATAACATATTTTTTAGGTACATTTAGGGGCTCAATCTTAAAAATTGTGAGTTTTAAACTCAAGCTCATGATGAAAATTGGTCAATAATGACCTTTTTTGTACAAAGAGACATTACCAAACACACACTTATTTCTGTTTTCATGCTCATTAGCAGCTATTAACACAGGCAGATGGAAGAAATTGTATAACCTTAAATGACTTTGTCCTATGAAAACCCCACTTTTTTAGAATTTGCTTATCTGTTTGGTTTTAATGCTGATTTTAACATATTTTCAGTAATATTTCAATTGACCTATCCGTTTTTTTGCAATTGACCGACTACCAAGCCCATCCAGCTAATTAATGAGACACCATTAAAGGACCATTACACTCAATGCTCAAGAAAAATCATTAAAGAAAAATTTCACCTCCCCCAAGGATGGAACCTGCCACCGGCCCAAGATTACAAATGTTATTATGAGGCTCTCCCTATAAGCTAAGGTAAGTGGATGCCGTGGACTTAAAAGTTAAATGGATTTGAAAAAATAATTACTTTCATATGAAATCAAGAATAAACTAAGATCATTATAATGTTAATATATATTATTATAAAATGCACTCCTAATAAAGTAAAATATTTAAATTTGTAATTCATAAAACAACTATTGATGTACAGTCAAACTTGTGATCAATGACAACCATAAGGTGAGATTGGACATGGCCTTTAAAGACAAGTGGTCTGTATTGTGAAATTCCTATGAAACTTCCTCTGAAGTAATTTTGTTTTATTTAATCAATGGAGGGTTGTTGCAAAATATAAACCTTGATTTACATGGTGGAAGTGGTCTTTACCACAGGTGTGACTGTATTATAATATGCTTTTAACATTTGTTGAATAATTTATGCTTTCAAGTTTTGCTGAATAATTTACATTAGAAATGAAGTACAAGTATATTGATGTGACTGGTAAATGTATTACAGTAACTTCCTCAAAAGTTTCTGATATTCAGAGAATGGCACCCCCAACAATATCCAAGCACCTACCCACTACCACATTACACTTGAAGGTCTTCACTTTCACTTGCCTACACTTGTTGTATGCTTCCTAGTTCTTTTTAAACAGGTATATAATGTAATATCCTCAATTTTCTCAGATGTTTAGTTTTCCTCTCAAATCATAATATGCACAAACAGTAGCAGCAATTCAATTCTACTTTAACACCTGTTATTTATTAACGTAAATCTTTTAACACTTTTAAGCAATTGATTCTTTTATCATGCTTTTCTAAAAATAAAACTTCATAAAAATGAAGTGCTTTTAACTGGATCTTCTCATATGACAATATTTACTGAGCTGATTTAAATTAGAATATACATTAAAATAGTTACACAAATCACTAACACACCAAATACAATTCAGCATACATGTATTAATAAACATTAATGTTTTGTTCAACTAATTCTTTGAAACAAATTGTATATTCAACATCACCTAATCATCCCTTTAGCAAACAATTGCTAACTCGTCAGAATAATCATCCAAAACTCTCTCATATTAATATAACTCCAAATTTAAAACAAATTCATTTTTCTTCCAAAAATAACATTCTTGAAACTTAATTGTATTTTGAAACACTGATTTAGCTTTTGTCCTGTTCAATCTCTGTTTATACTGATCTATCCAACAACAAAAAATGTAACAGTAAATAAAATGTCATTTAGGTCCTTCTATTCATCGATTTCCCTTCACTGGATGACTAAAGACTGCACTTAAAATTTTTCAATCAGTCAAGCTCCTTTAATACCCTGATCATGCTGTAATAAACAAGCATCTACAGACAGTGATCACTAGTTAATTAATTACCAAGTCCCCCATTGATTGATGGATGCCTGGAGTGAACATCTCTGGGAACATTTGTAAGTGTTACAGAAGGTTTTTCAGGAACATTCAAAAACATGACAATGCCAACAAAATTATTTGTAAAACCATCCTGAATGCAGCAAAGGTCAATAGTAATAATTGTGTCTAAACTGTAAAATAACCATAACAGGTGCTTGTCTAAATGATTTATTTAAATTCTGAACATTGCATGCAGTTTAAACGGCAATGGACATAATGTTTATGCTTTGAACACAGTCATCATGTCAATCATGAATAAAATCACCTATGAGATTAAAATTGATGACCTATAATTATGTTGAAAGACATACCAGTATCCAATAGCAAAATTAATGATCTTGAAGAACTTGTGAGAAGATTCAAATAAATTCCTTCAGTGATTAATGACAACGATCATGTAAAAGTCTTAAATTTAAACAGGAATTTTCTACATTTACAAAGGGTAAAATTTTGTTAAAGTCCACACTGGAGTTACGGGTCTTGGTTATTATAGATATATTATTATGACATGTGTAAAGAAAATTCAAATACCTACAGAAGTTCTTTTCTACACTTCATTTTAAAATGTGTTGCCATATAGATGCAGACATAAAAGTTAATGTAGAATCAGCCAAACTATTCTTTGAATGACTGTGCTAAAATCACATTATTATAGGTATAACAAACAATAATCTCTATTAGTTCCTGTAAATTGTCCTTTAGACATTAACAATATCTTTATCAATCAATTATAAAGGGATGAGAGAGCACTGCTTTCCATTAAATTGTCTTCAAATTTCATCGCCCTTCAGAAGCCCATTAGATCAATTGGAATACTTAAGCAATGGAAAAACCAAGACAAACATTCAAAAGTATGAAAAATAATACTCTTGTCCGTTTTTTCCTGCGTTTTGCTCTGAACATTTTGTCATTTTTACAAAAAATCTGCACAAATTAAACTGTATTATACATTTTAAGTGAAATGACTGCCGTTAAACAGCAACATGAATGACAACCTTTTCCACAAATATTTCAGGGCATGTCTTTACAGCCACTAAATCATAGAATATCTCTTAAAGCAGCACGCTTCCAGATTTCATGCTTATTTTCATGAAAATTTTGAAAATGTATTTAAAAAGTAAAATATTCTGTAGTGATCAAAGAAAGTAATCAACACATTGCAAAGAGCATTTACAGTTGATCCACTTAAATAATACCAAAAGAGGTCAAAACATGCAAAAATTGTCCTTACTGTGTTAGTCCCGCAGTAGAAATATGGTGATAAATACCAACAAATCAGTCAATAATCTCACACAACATGTAAATTATTACTTGAATCTTGAATATATTTACTTCTCTTAAAACCTGTGTACATTTTTCTAATGACAAGTTTAATTTTCTAGACATATCTGGGCTCAACCGGAGATGTGCATCTTTAAAACGTTTTTTTCTTCTAACCATACCGTAAGTGTCAGGAGGATGTACTTAATGTTTACATCCGCAAACATCCTTCATTATCATGCATGTCATACATTTCTGCTTGTTTGCATTTTAAAGAAGTTTTATCAATAGTAAAAAAATGTGCAAGTTTTCTTTTCATTCCGTAATCAAGATATAAAAATGCATGTTTCACTCGATGATCCAGTGCTGTTAGCCCACAACAACACAATGTCAAATATTTGTATACTTAAAATGTCTGTTCATGTTTTTGTTCACAAGGATCCAAATATAAAAATATTCCTGTTGCCACAGCATGTTATCCATTTTCTTTGTTGAAAATAAAAATTATTTTTTGTCCAAAGGTTGATAAATGACCTTGACTTATCAACCAAGGTCAGATGCAGAGTGAGAAACTATACTGTGGGCTGATATCATTACTCCATGACTGGTATAAGACCACTCACTCTATAAGTTGAACTATTTTTATCCAAAGGTTAATGTATGACCTTGACTCATCAACCAAGGTCAGATGCAGAGTGAGAAACTATACTGAGAGCTGATATCATTACTCCATGACTGGTAAAGAGACCACTCACTCTTAAAAGTTGAACTTTTTTTATCCAAAAGTCAATGTATGACCTTGACTTATCAACCAAGGTCAGATGCAGAGTGAGAAACTATACTGTGGGCTGAAATCATTACTCCATGACTGGTATAAGACCACTCACTCTATAAGTTGAACTATTTTTATCCAAAGGTTAATGTATGACCTTGACTCATCAACCAAGGTCAGATGCAGAGTAAGAAACTATACTGAGGGTTGAAATTATTACTCCATGACTGGTATAAGACCACTCACTCTACAAGTTGAACTATTTTTTATCCAAAGGTTAATGTATGACCTTGACTTATCAACCAAGGTCAGATGCAGAGTAAGAAACTATACTGAGGGTTGAAATCATTACTCCATGACAGGTATGAGACCACTCACTCTACAAGTTGAATTATTTTTTATCCAAAGGTCAATGTATGACCTTGACTCATCAACCAAGGTCAGATACAGAGTAAGAAACTACACTGAGGGTTGAAATCATTACTCCATGACAGGTATGAGACCACTCACTCTACAAGTTGAATAATTTTTTATCCAAAGGTCAATGTTTTTTGTTTGTTTTGTTTTGGGTTTTACGTCACATCTACACAGTATAGGTCATATCGCGACGTTCCAGCTTTACTGGTGGAGGAAGACCTCAGGTGCCCTTCTGTGCATTATTTCAGGCACGAACGGGCACCTGAGTAGAACCACCCACGTTCCGTAAGCTAGCTGGATAGCTTCCTCACATGAAAGAATCCAAAGGTCAATGTATGACCTTGACTTATCAACCAAGGTCAGATGCAGAGTGTGCAACTATACTGAGGACTGAAATCATTACTCCATGACTGATATAAGAGGTGTCCACTCACTCTGCTGTTGGCTGGTCAGTTATGATACAGAAATCCCTTACACTTTAAATGGACTGTTCTAAATTCAAAGCAAGGTAAGTCCATTACAAACTTTAAGTGGAATAAGAGTTATTTGCCCTTAGTTCTTGGAGCCAATAAAAATTAACATGCCATAATGATGACATCTTCCTCTTGCAGCATTGGCTGCAAGTGTTAGGTTTTGTCATTCTTGTAGGCGAGACAGGACAGGGGAATATATAATGGAATAATTAATAAATATTCATTTCAGAACATAATTTTTCTTGCAATTTTATGCCTATATTTTTAAACTGCATGTATACAAAAGCAGTAATTCACATATAATTTCATCGTAACAACTAAAATTCAAGTATTTTGTTATAATTTTTATAAGCACTTTTCTCTGTACAAAAATGCAAGTTACATCTTAAATCAAACAATATCTTAAGTAATGAATACTTAAATAATGAAATAATAGCAATATGTCGTATAATTTGATTAATTTCAATTCTGTTTAATTTACATATAAGCTATATATTTAAATATGATTTCTTTATTTTGCAACCATAAGATCTTACTTTCATGGACTTGTATCAGTCATAAAACCACCCTCTTAAGTACACACTTTTTAAACTTTAGACATTTTTTTTATATCATCTTTAAAGCACACAAACATAAACACTAAGTAAACATGTAAGAATATATCCCGTTTTTTCCAAATAGCTAATCCTTTACTTCAATAGCCTAAATTTTACACTTTAATAATTAACACAGTACAGTACACTTTACCAAATGAATTCTCCAATACGACAAAATATAATAGTACTTTAAAACTATCTTGATATAAATTTTAACATAGATATATATCATATATATATATATACTATAAATCCAAATTTTTCAACATTTTAACGTCACACTGTAGTATATTTGTATACATCGGTGGTGTCTACGTGGCCACCTTTTCATCCCCTCTCTAGTCAGCTGGTTTAAATTTTCCCGTTTACTATATCAAAGTCTTCTTGTAGTGTTTATCTTAGACAAATTTTAAACTGCTTCAACTTTAGACCGATTGTAAAACTATCTATTTAAAGGTGAATGAGGGCATGTATACTATAAAAATACCAAAAATAAAGACTTAATTTAATTTAAGAATTGTAATTGTTTTGTTTTTTTCTTCAATGCTTTTGATCAATATATATCATTCTGTCACAGGCAAATTTTGGCAAGTATTGTTTCAACATTAACTCTATTCTAAAGGAGAATCAATACATATTTGAAATTTAGATTAACTTCCTTGTTACATTAGTTTTCTTAAAATTGTTCACTAATGAATATTGTTGTTGTTTTTTTTTTTCTGTGGGTTATATTTTATATAATTTAATACAATTAAACCCTTGTACCTAAGCCAATCTAGATGGACATTGCTATCATTTATATTACGTATAATAATTATATTGTATGCTTGTAGATTGGATAATCATGATGATTCTATGAACTATATACACTGCTGATGTCAATTTATATGAATTAATTTCATTTTTTCCCCACATAAAGGAGGTTTGCGGTATTATAAATTTATTATAAAAATTCTTGACAGGTAATATGTCTGTATATTATATTATGCAATATAACAAGAACCACTTGAAGCAAACAACTGTTTATATAGGGCAAATTATTACTTGTCAAAAATCTTTTAAATTAATGTGAAAGCTGTGAAGTATTATTCATACACTATTCAAATGATATTTCATGAAAACAGTTGCACTCATATAAAATAGTGTTGTTATTCTTAATGTTTCAGTTCAAACAATTTGTTATGGTGTCTATGATTTCTACTTGTCATAATTATTTCACATTGACCACTTTCACACCCACCCACCTCCACCCCTTATGCACTCATGTCACACAACACACTCATGTCCAAAATACTCAAGTGACCTTCTGTAAAGCTAGTCCTCACTTTAGAAAACATATTAATTACAAGAAAAGCATTGATGCAAAGCATCAAAGGGCGTCCAAGCAAGAAATGCAGCAAGTGAAGATGAACTAGTACACATATGATGACAAGATATTCTTATAAACTACCAGAAATGTATACCACTTATGAATGAGCGGACGAAAGACATTGTTCATTATGAACTTTGATTGGCATGCTAGAGATTAGAATATTACTTGTTATATCTTTATGATCGTGGTTATTAATAGCAACGGATATACATGTATGCAATCATTTATAATCCATATGTGTAACGCATGATCAACACGTACCACACATTTGTCCCTTATTATGTACATGTTATCGCTATTAGCGAAGACCCCCTTAAGGTATCTGTTCACACTTTAAGTTAGTAAAAATATGACACTGGTTATATTACCATGTTGATCATGTTGAGCATAATTGTTTATTATACAATAATTGTAATATCTATTAATTTTAATTTAAAAAAAAATACAGATTTTATGAATATTGTTTTCTTTTATTCTTTTTTGTGTTTTATGTGCTATTTTGATACTGAGTTTTTACTACTCTTTTTTATTAAAATTGTAAAATAAATTTTAAGAATTCAATTGTCATATTGACCGACGATTATAAGTCAAAGCTTAACTGGAAAAAGTCAGTAAATTATGGTTTATCTTTCAATATATAATATTGTTTATTCTTAAACCATGTACATGTACATTGTATTTTTCTTTATCATTTTTTAAATTATCGATCAATTGAATAATTCATAAAATCTAATTTGTAACTTTGAATAATTCCTCGGCATCTTTACTAAACACGGATAACAAATTGAATAATTAAATAAAATGTTTCAAAGTTGATAATGTCATTTTAATACCATAAAAAATGTACCTTTTTCTCAATTATTGTACATATCACGGATTTATATTACATATAAATCCGTGTACATATTTATTGTTTTTATCTCATATAGATCAAATGAAACATGCTATTGTTGTTTTTTTCTAATTGTAACGATATCAAACATCTACTCCAAAATCGGGAGAGACCGGACAATAAACGTGTGGTACTATTCGCCGGTCACTAGTAAATCCTGGTCAAAATAGACCGGGAGAGACCGGCATTTACCGATAGGAGTGATAAAAAGATATATCTATAAATAGGTTTTTGGAATATTTAGGTCATCAACTGATCATTCTAGGATACATGTACAACAATAACATACCATGACATGATAACCGACTGTGTACTACAAAATGATAAATAAAAAACCCAGAAGAGCGCGATTTATTGACGGAAAAGGTTATTTCATTTGTAAATGTTTGCATTGCGAAAATTCATTGTAACATATCGCGACATTTCATTCTTATTTAATAATCAAGCACCCTCATACCGATCGGAATTTTCGGCTTTTACTTTGACCGACTAAAAGGCTCGAGAAGTTGCTGTCGCCCTTTCACAAAATCTGACCTCATTCCATAAGAGCGCCGCGCTTCGGCGCGGACGCCAATAAGCCTCTGGCCAGATTCGAACCAACAATAATTAAGCTGCAAGTAATTTGAAAGCAGCAACCTTGAATTATCATGCACACAGGTTCTTTAATTAACCGTTAACAATGTTATATTCACCTAAATCCTGGTTAACTTTGTCATAACATATTAATATTTAACTGAAATACTAATACTAAGATGTAAGAAAAAAGAACAGTAACAGGTTTGTTTGTTTCCTCAGACTTGAACTTTTCAGTATAATTTTACCATATTAATGTAATATTAAGGTTATCTATACCAAATGACCCATTTAATGATATAAACTTAAAAACATGCATGTTAACAACATTTAATGATATTTGTATTAAACATTTAACTGCCATTGATAAAGACTACATTTTTCCCTCCATTTAATTACAGTAATAAAATGAAATCAGCTTATGTCATTTATATTCACCATGTGATTATGTTGCTATACAGTATTTGTTTTTTTACATTTAACACCAACAGTTACACATTGATCCATAAAATATTTTTAATTTGCATTTTAAATTAGAGTAAATGTGGAAGCTTTAATAAATATTGCTTTTAAACGTACATGATCATTACCTAACAATTAAATGGCAAATTGATTATTGGTACAAGGTAACATTTTTTCTTAACAAAGGGAAACAACTGTTCCAAAACTGTAATATGGCTTTGATTGAATTGTCTCCCTTGAATTCAATTTTTATTAAAATTTCAACTAGTGTTAAACTATATATTCTTTTAGCCCTTATTTGATTTATTGAATTCAATCAAAGAGTTACAGGACTATGCTACACAACTAAAATCTGGCTAACGATGCAATAAAATTGGATCATTTACTAAAGAACTCCTATTCTACATTATTGCAAGCGCAAGGAGATATCCCTGGATAAAAATCACTGAATTCTTATAAGCTGGCTGGTTAGTTTATCCAACATATAACATAAAAATGTTTCTGCTGCCCACTTTGGAAACCAACACCCAATTATATTAACAAAACTTTTATTTCCTAAAATGTTAAAGTTAATTAAAATGTGTGCTTCATTAAAATTCTTATCACATCCTTCTGTATGTTTTCACCTCTTAATAGATCATTAAATTCATTTAATTTAGCAGCTTAATGACCTTTATCTAAGTCGTACATATTACCGTAAAATCAGATATTTACATGAGACCAAAATTTTGCCAATTCTACTTTATAAAGACTAATTGGCTAGATTAAATATTTGGGAATTTTCTACTTTGAAATTCAGTGCTGTTAAAGTCATACGAAACTAATATATACTTAGATAACATGTATTTTCACACACCACTATTCAAATATTCACTACTATTATGTTATATTATGTAACTTGAGTTAATAAAGATATGTTCTGTTCTGTTCTGTTCACACAAATCTTCAAATCACAAAATTAGCAAAATTTACCATATCACAAAAATTTCTTACTTTACAGTATTCTATACATTGTAACACTGCACTCCGGTTCAAAGTTTCAATAGCAAAATTACTATGTATACATATAATTATTTGTTGTTGTAAGACATCTCTCATATAAAATTATTTGTTGAAATACGATTTTTAGTAATTTCATACAACAGACATTTTGTCACTTAATTTACATTTATTTTATTCTACCATTTCATTGTTAAAGTCATCAACATAAAATACCATTATAAGTATAATTCTATTTATTTTAATGTTCTATTTATTTCAATGTTACAAAAGGTAACCTGGCATAAAAGCACAAAAAAGTACCCATTTTGTTTAATTTTTAAGCAACATATGTCACAAACATCTTCATCAGAGTTTAAATTTTTTCTTGAATTATTTAATTTTATATAATTTATTTCACTTATAATGTGGCAAGGAGCATGCTAACGAGCTCATAAAAGTGAAAATAATGACAACTTATTTGCACTACAGATGATTTATTTATTTTCACCTGTTTTCATAAATTGATGACAATAATTATTAGCAGGATAAATTTTATGCACATGTTTTATACAAGAATATTAACGTGATGGCTTAGACATGTATATACATTTTAGTACTTGCTATTATTGTTACTCGCAGGCCTAATCAACAAAATATCTTATAAAGTTACGAAGATCAATGCATTGTAAGTGTAATTGATGAATAATTTAAAACTTTAGCAACTTACCAGTTTGCATGGGTTTGAAGATGGTTTCTGTGACTTAACTGTTTTGCAGCAGATTGTTTCGGATGTTCGGAACAGTGGTTGACGGGTCAATGGACGAATTCTGTTGAATTGAAGATTTCTTTTGGTGCACTGTTACAGGGTAATAAATCTGCTTATCTGAAGGTATTTGTAGTATGTTCTGGAGTATTTTTCTTAAAAAATAACTTGCAATTATGCACACAAGTGATTCACATCAGCTTTTTCA